TGAGCGAGTGAGTTTAGTTTTAGGCTGCAATATTCCAGCTATATGGCGGCGGTCTGTAAATAATCGAGTCTGGACCAGACGATCCAGTGATTAACAGCATGAGCATCGATCTGAGCAGTTGGGAATCGATGACATGTGTCAACCAAGCCAGCGAGCCTGACCACCCGATGCCGTTAGTCGCCTCTTACGACAAGCATGGGTTACTGAAGGCTAATTCTAACCCGGACCTTCACGGGTTTCACAGTTTTGTCTTCTTGAGAGGGTACATTTGAAGTAAATTTAGATATACCAGGTTTATAATAGTAGGATACTTGTGTTTTTTCAGTGATGGCTAACTTTGTGCACACTCGCCAACGTAGTAATTGAGGGGCTATGGGCGGCCTTGACCGTGGAGTTTGTTATGGTTGGTGCTTGAGAGGTGGCGGGGCTCGGTGGTTGCTGGAGGCGCGCGGACCTCGGAGGAGACAGTAGTTGTTGGGAGGTAGAGTTGGTGTGAAATAATGAAGGAATAGAGAGGCGCGCGGACCTCTGAGAAGACAGGTGGTTGGAGAGAGAGGTGAAGTTATAGTTGGCTTGAACGTGAGCAGAAAGTGGATTGAGATTGCTAGGTTGAGAGGTGGGCGCGGACGTCGGAGAGGACAGTCACGCACATAAGGTGAATTTGGAGTGACTACATACCTATCCGTGAAACAATTAAGTAATGAAACAATAGGCGAGAGCTTTCAATACAACTGATAGTTCATGACAGGTAATTAATGACAGATGGTCGGATTGGGGTGTGCTGATAGTTATAGCCCGGGAAAGCCACTTTTAAGAAAACAAGAGTTGAAAATGGTTTGGCTCAATCTGCAATGGGTATGGTTGAGGGATCGTGTGAATGTGGGTCTTCCGGCAATGCGCTATTAGCTAATCCATGTTACCGTAATTAATGCAGATTTTTTAATATCGCTCTAAATTAGCCGAATTAAGTCAAAAGGAATTGAAATTTGTGTCATGATGCATTTACAACCTTCAAAACATGGAAAACATGTATTTTGAGTAACAGTTAATATTCTCGCCCATGGGCCAAAATGTTTTTCGCCCATGGGCGAGATTTATTAATATTGCCCTAAGTTAGTCGAATTAAGTCAAAAAGAGTTGTGTCATGATGCATATAAACATGCACTCATTCATTTACAACCTCCAAAACATGAATTCTGATCGAAATTAAACATTCTCGCCCATGGGCGTGCGAGTTTAAATATAAAGTTTTTGATTTTTTTTTCATTTTTGCATCTTTGGCATATATTCATAACAACTGCATGTTTAATTTGGTCAAATCCCTTGTCAAAAAGTGCCAACAGTGCGGAGAGTTTCTGGACTTTTGTGAGTCCAGAATTAAATTGTGACGTGTTTTTTGTATTTTCTGTTTATTTCCTATTTGTATCAACTGGCCACGAAACAATAGCAAGATAAATTGTTGATATCCAATATTGTTATTATTCAGAGATAACGTGCTATGACTGTTATAAATATGTACAACATTAAGCATAAATGTGAACCTTCACATATATTGTAGAGCGGCACTAATATAAGCCAATGAGGCTTGTTTGCCAATCCTTTTCTTTCTTCTTGAATGGAATAAAATATGTTTAAACCACATACGGAGGTGGGGGGTTAGGTGGTGGTGGGTGGTGTGGTTGCCTAAATGTTAACGCGTTCGCTGGTCACGCTGAAGACCCAACTCACTCACTCATAGGCTCAGATACTTGTCAATATAAGTACTCATAAAATCATTCTACTTAAAGGCACCAAAAGGTTACGGGGCTGGTAGTATATCTTCAAGGTACTTCCTCCTTCACGCTGTCAGAACTAACATACGATAATAGATATAATTAACGAGAATGGTTTACAAAGGCGATTATAGTAGTAGTAGTAGTAGTAGTAGTAGTAGTAGTAATAGTGGTAGTAGTAGTAGTAGTACTAGTAGTAGTAGTAGTAGTAATAGTGGTGGTAGTAGTAGTAGTACTAGTAGTAGTAGTAGTAGTAGTGGTGGTGGTAGAATGAGTGAGTGTAGTTTTACGCCGCTTTTAGCAGTATTCCAGCACTATCACGGCGGAGACACCAGGAATGGGCTTCACACATTTCGAACCCGGGCCTTTGGCGTGACGAGCGAACGCATTAACCACTGTGCTACCCCATCGTCCCTCGTTGCGTATGAACTCAATCTTGATCACTCCGTGTATTTCCATCTATAATGTGTTTGGTATCAGTTTTATTCTGCATATAATTTCAATGAGCCCCCTGAACCAAATCACTGCCATATCCTGTCATACGTCTTGGTGGAATAATATAGCATGTACAGACCCCCCAATCGAATAATCATGAGCGAGAGAAATTCTGAGGCTCAAATGGTTCTCAAAGAAGAATAGCAGTTGAGTTGCATTAGCATGCATTGTATTGCCTCTGTGGCAGGATACGCTTATCTGGTATTATCAATGTATTTCCCACCCTTACGAGGTACCCATTCGCAGCTGGGTGGACTGGGACACATAGTCACAGTATTTTGTCCAAGTTTACTGCACGTTGCTGTACCCGCAACTAGGTGTTTGCACGTACTCATGTGGCCACCATCTCGTCACTTAAACCACTAACGAAAGTTTTGTCCATTGTTCTTGGAAGTGTTTTATTAGCATAACTGAATAACTGCCCTAGGGTAATTATTTCTATTTAAAAACAATAAAATCGTACTCATTTTGATAATCTTCATCATGCCTAATACATTACACGCGTATTAAATATGTATGCCCTCGTGGTGTAAGCCGTTTAATCGCCCTCACTACGGTAGTTACTTAAATAAACTCTGCTCGGGACTAAAGCCCTTGCAGAATTTATTTAAATAATTATCTTGTAAGGGTGATTAACCGATACTTACGGATTCGTGGGCTCTTTTAAGTGAACAGGGTTGTGTATTGTACACTGGGGGTTGTGACAACAATGAAAGAGTCTGCATACCAAGGTTTTTTACACCCGTCACAGGTGGGCTCAATCCCGGCACCTCAAGCTCGCTGGATCACTAGCCTGGCGCCTAAGACACCTCGCCCACAACTGTATATTGTGTCGTTATGTCCTGGACCTATTTTCTTACCTTCATGCAAAATACTTTAATTTCATTAGTCAATGACGCTTTAACAAGTTTCCATATCACCCCTTCCAGGAGGGTGACAACAGGAAAAAAATATTACCTGCTGCCACGGTAACCGCCAAACTCTCCGCCGAGAAGCGGTATCGGTAACAATCGTATGACGTCATAATATGACAAATGCAGTGCCCGGAGTTAGAAAACAGTTCGAATAGCTGTTTTAGAGTTCACTATGTACACATTTATTTTAACGACTTTAACTGCTTTATTTAAACCATTTTATACATTGAATCGTTTGCACAATCAACTTAAACATAATTAATCATTTTTATAGCAGTTTTTAGCTTGTCAGAATATGTTTTACTGATGTTAAAATCCAGTCATGGGCAGACGCCATTTTGTTTACATGTCATATAGTCGGTAGCCAGATTATCGATCTTCCAAATAAAAGTAAATGATATTTTGAACATTTAACATTGCGGTAAGATAAATACGTGTGACACTGCTACAAAAATGCGTACATCAGACCGTATTACCCTCGAGAGAAACATACAACTTATAATAATGTAAATACCATATTAGCTTGTATCAGACATGGGGTAATTGTAATTTGTAATTGTAATTGAATGTAATTAATTGCAAAAATCTATGTAATTGCATGTAATTTGTAATTGAATGTTTAAAATGTAATTTGTAATTGTAATTTAATTAATTAAAATCTCAATGTAATTGAATTTTGCAATTACTTTTTCAATTACATCAAATTACATCTCACTTTTTTATTTTGGTAGTCATCAGGCAACCCTTGCAATTATATTCTGTACAATAAGGAGGGCAAAGCAGTGTTTTTCAATAAGATGCTTGTTGTCGGTATATACTCTAGCAGGTGTTAAGTTTTGAAAGAGATTTGAATGTCTAAGTCTTTGTAACTATCACCATCTGCACAAACAAAGGGAAACAAAGGGAATCAGTAACGCATGACTGAATGTAGGTTGGTATTTGAGGAAATGGGGGATTAACAGTACTATTAGTCAAGTTCCTATCAAAATGGCCTCTTTGTTTATTTCTCATAGGATATGATTTTTCAAAATCTTGCTGAACTGTAGTCTTATTTTTATAATCATGAAAGGTAATAAGCCATAAATCCAAGTTGACAAATCCTTAAGTATGTTAATGTGGATTATGTCAGATAGAGAGACCGGCTGATTATATATTGTAATGTAGGCCTGTAATGATGTCATGATACAGTACACCTAAGGTAACAGTGGTGGACAAAGTGTTTTTTGCAACAAGAGATGATAGAGGTGTGTATTTGATAATAAGCCCAAAGAAATATGCAAAATACAAATTTGATCAAATAGTGTACATTGTAGATATAATCTAATTTTGCATTTCACTTTTTGATGACAAAAATATGAATTGGATTTAGTGACCACTGTTTACCAACATCGATATCTTGTTGATTAAAGGAATACAAAAATATATATATATTTTTTTTTTAACAAAGTAATTTGTAATTGTAATTAATGACATTGGTAATGTAATTGTAATTTAATTAATTACATTTTAATTTAAGGTGTATTTGTAATTGTAATTGAGGAAAATCAAAGTAATTGTAATTTAATTAATTACATTTCAAAGTAATTGAACCCATGTCTGGCTTGTATATTTCGTTGTCTGCAATATTTCAATATACCTGACGGTGGAATGCAAATTTTCTTGACCAGATAAACCACGCCGTCATTCATGTCAATCGTCTCTTACGAGATCTGTTAGATTGTTCAAATCCCTATGGGAAACATGCCCATAACAAATCGTGATATGATACACTATACACAATCATTAAATGATTAATGAATTTTTATTTTTATATTTTTTGCTGTTCAGTTACCTTGACAACACAGATACGTTGTGCAACCGGAAGCTGCGCATGGGCAAACTGGGGGATGGAGGCTGGGAGATCTGTGACGACCCTGGTTACCGCCCAGTAAAGAATTGTATCGTGTACTCGTTTGGGTGAGTAGTCAATTAATTGGAACACGTATTAGTCCAAGAAAGAGAATGGTATGGAGACACTTTTATAAATGCCAAGGAGAAAATGAGTGAGTAAGTGAATTATGTTTTACGCCGCACTCAGCAACAATCCAGCTATATAGCGGCGGTCTGTAAATAATCGAGCAGGAACATCGATCTACGCAATTGGGATACGATGACATGTGTCAAACAAGGCAGCGAGCCTGACAACCCGATCCTGTTAGCCGCCTCTTACGACAAGCATGGGTTACTAAAGACCAGTTCTAACCCGGATTTTCACGGGTGCGGAGCAAATGAAGGCTACATATTAAGTTTGGAGACATGTTTGCACCCTTCATGCCATGCCCAGGGCTGAGTATTTCCTAAAAAATATGACACGTGTACTTTACACTGACAACGGAATGTGGGACACGAACGCGTCTTGTTAAAATCGAAGTGAGTGAGTTTAGTTTTACGCCTCACTCAGCAATATTCCAGCTATATGGCGGCGGGCTGTAAATAATCGAGTCTGGACCAGACAATCCAGTGATCAACAGCATGAGCATCGATCTACGCAATTGGGAATCGATGACATGTGTCAACCAAGTCAGCGGGCCAGACCACCCGATCCCGTTAGTCGCCTTTTACGACAAGCATGGGTTACTGAAGATCAATATTCTAACCCGGATCTTCACGGGTATGTTAAAATCGAAAAAAGTAAGGTTTCAAAATATAAAACGAACATATATGTTCTCCCAGCGCAACCCCTTTGAACATATTCTCACAAGTCATGTACCATCTCAAGTGCATGTTAGAGTATGGGAGTTAGCGTTAGGAGGGGAGGTGGGGTAGCCTTGTGATTAAAGCGCTCGTTCGTGACGCCGAAGACCCGGGTTCGATTCCCCACAAGGGTACACTGTTTGAAGCCCATTTCGGGTGTCCCCCTGTCGTGATATTGCTGGAATATTGCTAAAGGCGGCGTCAAACTAAATTCGCTCACTCACTCACTCACTCACTCACTTATCGTTAAGATCGCTTTGCACAAGTGGGGTCATATCTTTAACTCCGTAACCACGTGGTGTTGCGCCACATCCTGGTGCGGTGATGACTCGGCATAACGTCGCTGCCAAATACATATTTGTATATCGCCTGATTAGACCCTTCTCTTTCTCTCATTGTGAACAAAGGAGCATATTCTGCAATTTGTGTAAACTTATTGAGAGCCATTCATGCACTTTATATATCTTTTTGCACAATATTACACTCTTCAAAAAAAAAGAAGAAATGCATTGGCCCAAAATAAGGAAACGTATTAAACGTGTTTAAGTGTACATAAGTCGGGCGGTGGGGTAGCCTAGTGGTTAAAGCCTTGGCTCGTCACGCCGAAGACCCGGGTTCGATTCCCCACATGGGCACAATGTGTTAGGCCCATTTTCTGGTGTCCCCCTCCGTGATATTGCTTGAATATTGCTAAAAGCGGCGTAAAACTAAAACTCAGTCAGTCAGTCAGTACATAAGTCGATGAGGCTTGAACATGGATGAAGGAAATTCGACACACGGATGAACATGTGTATTGTTGTCATTGTCAGCGTTAATTCGGTTCACTTACTGCACGTGTGTGGACACAAGGGGGAGTTCAGGCCAGTACCTGGTGACACCACCCCTTGCAGCTCTCACTGCTGAACGCCGCCATGGAAGGGATTGCAAAAGTCGTCGGAATATTGCTTGGAGAATTCTTCGCCTTGCCTCTTACAAGTTTGCAAGTTCTGCAAGTGTCTAAGAATGATGGTGACGTTTACGTCAAGTTCGTCCTATAGATGCTCGATCGGATTCAGATCAAGCGATTTGGAAGGACATTGGCTTTTGCATTGGCGAGACAGGCACCTGTTACAGGAGCAGTATGGGGTCGAGCGTTGTCGTGTTGAAACAGCTCCCTCTGGCAGTTAAAAAGTGGGAGGAGGTGAGGTGGCAGGATTTGGTCGATGTAGCGATTTGCTGTAAGATTGCCTTGAACCAGCACTACCTCTGATCTACACGTGTAGAACATGGCTCCCCACACCAATACACTTTCTCCACCAAATCGGTCCACCTGTCGAACGCAGTTCGGTGCAAAACGTTCGTGTTGACTTCGATAGACACGTCTCCCATCCCGTCGTTGAATGAGAAAACGCACTTCATCGCTGAACCAAACACGTTCCATAGGTTCCATGCCTGTACCCTGTTGCACCATTAGACACGTCGTTGTCGGTGTAGTCTTGTCAGGACAGGTCCAACTTTTGCTCGATGTGCTCGAATTCCCATTTCTCTCAGACGCTTTCCGATGGTATGGTCGGGACTTCTTTGAAGATCAGGCACCTGTCCTGCGGTGTCCGTTGATGTAACAAATCGCTTACGTGAAAAACCCGGATGAATCCGTACTGAGCAGGAGTGGTAACTGTTGGTCTTCCACTTTTGGGACGGGTATATCGATGTCATAATCGAGATATGGTGCTGTGGTGGACGTTGAAGTGTCGTGAAACGGCAGATTGAGACTCCCCTGGTTCCAAACGTCCAATGTCGATATTTCAGTCAGTAGCATTCAATCTTGGCATTTTGTTATCTTCGTTTACTTCGTAAATTTCGTAGTGAAATGATGGATTTGGTTTGGCCGATGTCTCAAATCATGTGCCCGACACATTCACGTGCATTACGTTGAAAACATTTTCTGCATGCACTTTTCATGTATCGTTTTCATTTTTATCCACAACAACCACGACATGATTAACGGGATTCAAACATAGGAATTGTATTAATGACGATTTCTATCAACATATATCGAAATGAACTGCTGGAAACGCCTATGCTTTTCTTTTTTGAAGAGTGTATAACCATGCAACCGTTGGTTGGACAGTGAGATGCACGGCAATCCATCAGCAAATATGTCTCTATACATGTGACAATCGCTAGCTCTGCGCATGGATTCTGTCAATAAAACATAAATACACAGATGGAAAAGTTTTCATCGCACTTTAGGATATTTTCTCAATTCTATCCATTATTGTACATCAATATCTGCAGATTCGCCTCAAATGAAACATGAAGAAAATATACAATATATATGTATACTCCCATCTTCTTGTTCCCAAGCCGCCATATAGCTCGAATATTGCTGAGTGCAGCGTAAAACTAAACTCACTCACTCACTCTTGTTCCCAAGCCGCTATATAGCTGGAATATTGCTGAGTGCGGCGTAAAACTAAACTCACTCACTCACTCACTCACTCACTCACTCACTCACTCACTCACTCACTCACTCACTCACTCACTCACTCACTCACTCACTCACTCACTCACTCACTCACTCACTCACTCACTCACTCACTCACTCACTCACTCACTCACTCACTCACTCTTTCTTGTTCCTAATTGGTTTTGTCATAACACACTTTCATATGTAATGCCTTTTATTCCACAGAATCAACAACGATTTTTCCTTTGACGATGACACGGCCAAAAATTATGAGTGCAATGTTTTTGCCTTTGATCCAAGGTTTGTATATACGTTTGTGCAGGTCGGTTGTTTGTTTATTTGTTCGGACGCATATCAACAATATGTTTGTTATCTCGCTGATGTTAATATACTACTCACACTTTGCTAAGGATCACAAAAATTCACAACTTTACTTAAATGTAGCTTATAATTGGAAATTGAATCCATTTAAAAGTGGATAAATAATAATATGGTAACCCTTCATTAGGCAAAATACTCACTTTAATCTAACCTTATGTACTTGATACATGAGTAACCCTGAAAATGGTTTTCGTGGCACCAATCAACCATTTTGGAAATCATGGAATGAGTCTTTGACAAATAAACAACACATGTCAATAGCAGATATAGGATCCACAAGATGCAGTGACATACTGAGACCTAGGATATATGTTTACAGGTATTTAAACCAAATTTGACCCCACATAATAGTTTTCTGTTGAATCCATGACTTGATCCGTAGTAAAGTGTGAATAGTATAATTTAGACATCTTGGAGTCTGGAGTCTGGACACCCTGGAGTCTGGAGTCTGCCAGATGTTAATGATTGAGACATCCTGGAGTCTGGAGTCTTGACACCCTGGAGTGTGGAATCTGGCAGATGTTGATACTTTAGACATCCTGGAATCTGGACATCCGGGAGTCTTGACACCCTGGAGTGTGGAATCTGGCAGATGTTGATACTTTAGACATCCTGGAATCTGGAATCTGGAATCTGGAGTCTTGACACCCTGGAGTCTGGAATCTGGCAGATGTTGATAATTTAGACATCCTGGAATCTGGACATTTTTGCCCATAGTCCATGCCAGAGTCATCGAGCTTACCCATCCAATACCCAAATCGCCTCTGACAAATAGCATCTATTGGGTTCGAACCGTAAACCATACGGAATAAACAGACTATTTCTGAATGAATGAGAACCCTTCGCCTGTGCATGTCAGCTGTGCTAGGGCTGTATGACAATTTCCAAACCCATCATCGATAGAATCCTGTTTTGCAGTTATTTATATTTTTGATTCGACCACCGAATCTATGAAACAGTTTTAAGACATTTGAAAGTCAATTTTGGAAAATATGTGTACACATGTCCTACAGTTTTGATTTTCTGTGAATGTTTAGTTTGCGTCGGAAAATGCTTGTAGAGAATATCAGCAACATCAAAGACCTGACATGTTACACAAACAAGTGTGTTAGTAAAGGGCTTCCGTTTCCGTGAAATGAAACTCAGTTTAGTTTACTTCTATGCCACTTTTGTCAATATTCAAGCAATATCACGGTGGGTGTGTGTGCGTGCGTGCGTGCGTGCGTGCGTGCGTGCGTGCGTGCGTGCATAGATCGTATTCGTTTTCGTATTGATCATGATTGGAGGTGTGCGGGAAAAGTCAGTCGGTAAAGATACTTGCCATGTAAAGTTCCAAGATTGCCGACCCGTGAAGATCCGGGTTAGAACTGACCTTCAGTAACCCATGCTTGTCTCCTCCCCGTGAAGATCCGGGTTAGAACTGATCTTCAGTAACCCGTGCTTGTCGTAAAAGGCGACTAACGGGATCGGGTGGTCAGGCTCGCTGACTTGACACATATCATCGTATCCAATTGCGTAGATCACTGGATTGTGTGGTCCAGACTCGAATATTTACTGACCGCCGCTATATAGCTATAATATCGCTGAGTGCGACGTAAACCTAAACTCACTCACTCACTCATTTTCTCCTTGTCATTTATGTAGGAAGACTGCCTGTCTATAATAATAGTAATGACGATAGTGATAATAATCATATTTCAGTATGAACCAGGCCAGTTACCAGAGGTCGCCACGTGTCCGGTTTTTGAGGATAGGCATCGATGGAAGAGACTACAAAAGGGCAGCTTGGGACATGCGTACATTGACGAGTATGAAGAAAATGTTGAACCACACGGGGGTAAGTGACACAAACATATATTGACATTTGACATATTTTGACATGTCACTGCTCCCGTGAATGCCATCGTGGCCCCATTTATAGTTATTGTTAGTCATGTCACTGCTCCCGTGAATATCCTGGTTTTCCGATGTATGCTTCCAGGAAATCAGACTATGTGACCCTCAACGTATGATCTGTTTGTTGTTTAACACACGCTGCACACATTACTACTGAAACTCTCTCTCTCTCTCTCTCTCTCTCTCTCTCTGTCTCTCTCTCTCTGTCTCTCTCTCTGTCTCTGTCTCTGTCTCTCTCTCTGTTTCTCTCTCTGTCTCTCTCTCACTCTCTGTCACTCTCTCTCTCTGTCTCTTTCCCTCTCTCTCTCCCTCTCTCTCTCTCATCTGGTAAAATAATTCCTTTTGTTTTCCAGAGAGTCATTGATGTCTTGAAGATGGATGTGGAAAGTTCAGAATGGCCTTCAATCCCCAACATAGTGTCATCGGGCGAACTGTCCAAAGTCAGACAGTTTCTCGTGGAATATCACGGAACTTGCACCGAAAGGAATGACTGCATCAACAGACTGAAAATATTGAAAGACGTCTATGATGCAGGTTTCAGGAAATTTTCTGTCCACAAAAATCATCACTGTGGGTTTACCAATAATTTCTTTCCTGTCGTGAGGACACTTTGCTATGAGATTCATTACGTGAACATTAACCTTATGTGAGTATTAACAGATCTCGGGATTTTCAGACAAACAGGTTTTGGGCCGTATCAGTATTTTCATTGCTCCTGGGTATTCCATAGTTCAGGTTATTTCACTTAGACATTACCTGAGAACACTATCAGAATTGTCTTGAAGTACATATCAAATGACCTATGCCAAGAATGTCACACGCTAAATGCTTTTTTTGGCGAATCATCTTGCCTTGCAAAAACCACCCTGCAGAGATGCCAACCCTCCCGAATTTATCGGAATCATCCCGAAAATTGCATGTGGATTCCGTCATTCCGACAAAGCCAAATCCATTTTGATTTTGTTCAAAATATAAGACAGATATGGATAAAGGCCTAGGATCAACTTTGACTATAAATAATGATAATTAAATAAATATAACACTATATTTAAAAAAAGTAATCCGAAGTTGAGTAGGCAGCCTGGTAAATTCCACGCACTGTTTATTTTATTCACAAACACTGCTGCCGAGTACTGCAAACCGGTTTCAGTTGTATAAGGATCGCTATGTGTAATGCCATTGAAAAGTTCCGTTCCTTGAGTGCAACAATTTATAGGGATCCCTTATTTGTTGCGAAAATGCCTATTTTTTTCTATCTTAGGGAGCTCAGATTCCTAATTGCACCAATTTTGGGGTGGCATCTCTGCGTCCTGTGGTTCCCTGGTAGCCCGGGCTTTGTTTGTCAGAACATCGTCATCATTTAGCATGTATTGTGGGGCGGTGGGGTAGCCTAGTGGTTAAAGCGTTCGCTCGTCACGCCGAGGACCCGGGTTCGATTCCCGACATGGGTACAATGTGTGAAGCCCATTTCTGGTGTCCCCCGCCGTGATATTTCTGGAATATTGCTAAAGGCGGCGTAAAACTAAACTCACTCACGAACATGTATTGTGTTATTGTTAACATGTATTGTGTTATTGTTTAGATGTATGCTTAGTGCTGATTAAAAACTGAATTGTTTGATGTCTTTGTTAATTTGAATGCTGCAAAGGGATAGGCATGGTTTGTGTTTTCAATTACATTGATAGAAGTGCCACGTTATTATTGTATATATCGAACCCGGGTTAAGTCGAATTATTTCTCTAATCCCAAGAAATAGGAGACATGGGTGAGTGAGTGGGTTGGATATAAAAAAATTGTTGGTTTACGCCGCACTCAGCAATATCTCAGCTATATGGTGGCGGTATGTAAGTAATCGAGTCTGGATCAGAGAATCCAGTGATCAACATCATTAGCATTGATCAACGTAACTGGGATACGATAACATCTGTCAACCAAGTCAGGGAGCCTGATCACCCGATCCCGATAGTCGCCTTTTACGACAAACACATTACCAAAATATGTAAAATCAAGACAATATGTAAAAACTGTACAATCGCAATATGTAAAATCTGTACAACCCCAATATGTAAAATCAAAACAATATGTAAAAACTGTACAACCCCAATAATTAAAATGAAGATAATAATCTGTACAACCCCAACATGTAAAATCAAGACAATATGTAAAAAACTGTACAACCCCAATATGTAAAATCAAGACAATATGTAAAATCTGTACAACCCCCAATATGTAAATCAAGACAATATGTAAAATCTGTACAACCCCAACATGTAAAATCAAAACAATATGTAAAAACTAACGCAATATGTAAAAACTTAACGCAAAACGTAAAATATAGGGCAATATGTAAAAGATTAACGCCAAATGTAAAAAACATCTTTAACGCAATATGTAAACACCTAACGCAAAATGTAAAAACAATGTTTAACGCAATTTGTAAACGATTAACGGAATCTGTAAAATGCAGCTTTATTGTTGTTTATTGTTTTGGCGACTGGAATTTATTTTTTTTAGAAACTTTACTTTATTGTGTTTCAAAATACCTAAGCTATTGCAATATTTCTGACAAAATTAACCTCATTTCTGACTTAATTGATATCTGATCTTTTGGGTCGTTTAACACCAAAGTAAAGCCGATAATTGTGTAATATACATGTATAGCGATACATGATATCATAATCGATATTTGACAGTATCCAAGGAAATCATCTTATTCTTCATAGTATTTTTACATAAATGGTCATATGGGTTGTATTCATTATGTCCTAGGAGGTTTTACCTTTTGGCCTTTTTTTTATCCCACAACACGCATGTGGCGCAAAGTTGGGGACATAAAATTACCCTCCGCATTGGGTACGGTAACCAAGGTTCAACTTGCAATTCTGCAGATATAAGTTTTTTGTATTGTTTTTTTTTCTTTTCATTGTTTTTGCTGAGAGACTAGTTTTGTGTTCGAATTTATCCCATTAGTGGTGAATTAATAGCAAAACATTTTCCTTTATGGAATTAATGTATTAGTTATTTCCTGGCAGTGTTTTTTATAATCTCACCTCAAAATACACAAATGAAATGCAACAAATCCTGATAAAAAGTTTGAGCCATCCCATAGAAATTACGAGAGACTTGGGAGTTTGTTTCAGAAACACTTTGAATGAATTTTACAGAAAATATCATATTTATGATGATGTATTTACAAATATTATATCACTCCAAATTGTGAAAATTACTATTTAATATAAATGTGTCGCTGGACACAAATACATTTGATTTAGGAATGGTAAATCCATCTTGCACTTTTAGGTATAATGGACATGCAAGATGCATCGCAGTGATTCGGGTATTTGCATTCCAATCACATCTGCTTTCCTTCAATCAAGTCACAGGTAATATTGCTGCCAATGAAATCGAGTAATACCAGAGACATTTGAGATTGGATCCCGATGTTGATCGCTCAAATTTTATGAAATAAAGTTATTGTATTTGATGCAATTTAAGTAATATAGAATATTGATGTAAATGGGTAACATAACTTGTTGTTTTAGGTTTTAGAAAACTGAATCCATCAAATATACCAAAGCCAAGATCAACGATACAAGTATAGAATTGCAAATCACAAACCACGACTAAGAAATTATTATCGTAATTCACCATTTAATCACATAGATTGCCATTCGCTGTGTATTTTGTGACATTCCTGTGATTATTTGACGTAGTATCAAACATTAGTACAAACGGAACCAGCTATTCTATTGTTTATCTCAGTGTAATTAACGTCTTCAATATCTGAAAAAATGCGTAAGGGGTGTTTGACCTTATTAACTCATTCACTCACTCACTCACTCACGGGACATATGGTTCTCTATTCCAATGATAGAGTTAGAGTCTTTGATGTAAACGGAACAGTGACACAAGTGATTTGATTCCCATACAACGGTGGAGAGAGACGCAGATCATGTATAACGAGAGAGAGAGAGAGAGAGAGAGAGAGAGAGAGAGAGAGAGAGAGAGAGAGAGAGAGAGAGAGAGAGAGAGAGAGAGAGAGAGAGAGAGAGAGAGAGAGAGAGAGAGAGAGAGAGAGAGAGAGAGAGAGAGAGAGAGAGAGAATAGCTTCTTTCATATTCTCAGTTGGTTTACTTGAAGCTATTCCAGTATTCCCTTTAACCGCCCATCATTGTTTCATGTACACAGTCAAATCATAACTATTGGTGCTCTCTCCTAGATCAGTTGCTTGGCCGGAGTCCAATGGTCAGAGCTACCATCTCGATGCCAAGTACCTATTGCAATTAATTCGAACCCCCATACACAATGAATTAAAATTGGAAACATTGCTACAACGTGCATGTTATTTCAAACCAAATTAAGAAGGATCAATAAGTGGTTTTCTTTAAAAACCCAAAACGGAATGGACAGTTTGAAGGAAAGGTCAAACCTTCTTGAATAAGACATAATGAATATAACCCAAAATACCATTTATGAAAACAAGTTTGAACAATAAAATTATTCCTTTAAGACTTTCGAAAATAGACTATACGATCGATTAAAATAAATCTGTATACAAGGAAATTATATGTTTATCGACTCTGCTTACATGTATACTGAACGAGGTAAAATTTTGTAAAAAAAGGTAATATGAAGTTTATTTTGTAAGAAACATTGCGATATCTTAGTTTTTGTAAATATAGTCAGTTTTGCCAAATTTGTGACAAAAATGGATTTCGATCGCCACCCCTAATATTCAAACCTAACATACTGCGTAATATTTTTACATATTACGTTAAAATTTGTTTTTACATTTTGCGTTAGGTGTTGTACTTTTTGCGTTAAAGACATCTTTTACATATTGCCTTAATATTTAACATATTGCGTTAATTTTTACGTTTTGCGTTAAGTTGTTACATATCGCGTTAGTTTTTACGTATTGTCTTGATTTTACATATTGGGGTTGTACACCTGTACCGTGCTCTCCAAATCATCTAAAGAGACATTTTCGACCATTTTGTCCATATTTCGTGCATTCTGTCTTTCAACCCCAAACAGACCCCCTGTTGTGGGTGTCTCTGCACGTGCTGTAATGCATGAATACGTATGATATTTTGGCCATATCTGGTTGGATGGTTCCAGTACATGTTTCTCAAGTCTGGACGCTCTATAACAATAGGTCCGCTGTGTCCAAACCATCTGTAAAGAAACATTTTCGGCCATTTTGTCCATATTTCGTACATCCTGGGTTTTAAACCCATACAGGCCTCCTCTTCTGGGTGTCTCTGCGCGTGCAGTAATGCATGAATGCGTATGATATTTGTTGAACGGTATCGGATAATGTGTCTCAGTTTTGATTGCTTAATGACAACTGGCTCAGTCTTTCACTCACACACTCATGTAGTGACCACTTGTCTGCCAAGGATGAATGTTATGACAGAACACCCTATTATTGTTACTTTGTAGTTATAAGGTAACTTACTGACTACAGGGTATGGTTTAATGGACATCTGTAATAGACAACCTTACCGTTGGATGGTACCAGCACATATCAACGTTGGATGCTCATGCAACGGGCTCACTCACTCTATCAACCACTGTTTTTTTTAGCATGTTTTTTAATTTTTATAGAGATATAATTCCATTTATTGACAAGTGAGTATCATATATAAAACATAAGTCTTACTGAGGATAGAACCGTTGTAAAGTGGACAAGCCACAAACTCACTTACTCACAATATCAACCACTGGTTTGTTGAGGATGGATTTTGTTATAGTGTTCCGTTAATTTGTCACTCTTTATGAAGATACAAGGTCACTTCGTCCCGACACGTGTTCTGAAGTACCACCCCGCAACTTGGCCTAGGAGTCTTCTCAATGTGTACATCTAAACTGATGTGCAAAAGAAAGTACACAGGTTGTGTTTCTTCCAATAAGATAAAAATAACAAAACTTTTTGATGAAATGGAAAATGTATGTTGAA